TTGTTATGTGCCATCGAGTCGCTTGCAACTCATAGCGACCCTATGTACAAGAGCCCTAAACGCAGTTCTATCCTGTCTCAACCTCGCTGTCTCAAACACACTCATTCCCACCACTCCACTTATAGAATCAGTCCATCTCATCAAGGGTCTTCCTCTCCTGTGCCGTCCCTCCACTCTCCCGAACATGATGTCCCTTCTCCAAGGACCAGTCGTCCCTCCTTGCAACATGTCCAAAGTATGTCAGACAAAGCTTCAAAATCCTTGACTCCAATGAGCATTCCAGCTTCACCCTCTCCAGGACAAACCTGTTTGTTCTCCTAGCAATCCATGGTATATTCAACACTTTTCTCCAGCGCCACAGCTCAAAGGCATCAATTATCTTTCTAATTGTTTTAGCGGGTTAAAAATTATTTTATATATATATATATTTGGTTGCTACCAGGGAGCTCTGGTGGTGCTGTGGTTGAAAGCATTCAGTTGTTAACCGAAAGGTCATTGGTTCAAATTCTCCAGGGGCTCTTTGGGAGAAAGATTGAGGCACCCAATTTCTGTAAAGATGTCCAAACTTGGAAGCCCTGTGGGTAGTTCTATGCTGTCATACATGGTTACTATGAGTTGAAGTTGATGGCAGTGGATCTACCCTGGGTGTTACAAAGAGTTAACCAGAAAGGTTCGTGGTTCAAGTCCACCCAGAGGCACCTCAGAAGAAAAGACCTGGTGATCTACTTCCCAAAAACCAGCCAGTGAAAAATCCTGTGGGGAGCAACTCTATGATGACACACATGGGATTGTCTTCAGTTGCCATGAATCACCTGATGACGGCTAGCAGCCAGGCATGGTGCCAAGCTAGGAAGTCAACTGTGAATAGAACTTTACAAAGTTCTTATAACCTAGTAGGGGAGCCTGTCAAGAAAGCAGGCAGCCACAGAGCAGTGTGACAAATGCTGGGAAGGAGCGACTGCAGAGGGCAGTGGCCTCCAAGGACATGAACCCAGCCTGGGGTGGAGGTGGATCGAACTGCTTTAAGTCTCTAGGTGCATGTTCCCAAGTTGCTCAATGGAATGAATGCTGAGCAAGATGGTCTCTTGTTTTACTGAGTGTGTTTCTCATGGTGATTTAAATCCACCAGCTGCTCCAAGGGAGAGAGATAGGCAACCTTCTCTCCTCCCTTGCAATTTACAGCCTCTGAAAATCCTCAGGTGGGCCACCTGTGAGTCAGTTGAGACTCGGTGACACAACATATTATCATTTTCCAAATATACCTGCTCTTTTTTTTGTAAAGCCCTATTCTCTTTTCCTGTACTTTCTATCCACTATCTTAGCTTCCATTTGAAACTTAACCTCCTGACAGTTTCCTTCAAATTACTCTATTCATGTTCTTGAGAATACGAATGTTTCTTTTGCTCATTATTCACACTCATGAGGAAATATATCCCTGAGTGGTTTGGTTTGTAACTTTTTATTGTGAGGGGTGTGTATGTGTTGAGGGTTTTTTTGTTGGTGTCCCCCTCCCCCGATGTCCTTGTGAGCCCTGAGTTGTGGAAATATACTGCATCTTGACCTTTGCTTCTGCTGGGTACCCTAGGGGCTTAACTGATTTAGGACCTATGTTCATTTTAACTTTTTTTACTTGGAGAAACTGTTCAAAAATTAACTAAGCCTTCCCTACTTGCTTTTACTTCTCTACATTCATGCCATGGGGGACAGAAAATAACACAAAATAATACAGAATGGCAGCTTTATGTGGAATTACAGTCTGGAAGGGTCAAATGTACAGATTGGGTGACAATGCAAAGTCTGATAAGCAGCCTAATGGTGGACATACAGGCAAGTTCAGAAGGGAAAACAGATACCCTGGGAAGCTAATCCCAGAGGAGGAAGAGGTTTATGTCAGGAAGTTTCAGAAGGAAGGTGAGGCGAACATGCAGCTGGAAGCTGGAAGCCATGACCTTTTCTGAACTGAGAGCTATTGGGATGCTGTAATGTTAGATGAGGCTGAGGATGAATGTATAACTATAAGGTTCCTACTAACACAGCGACATCAGAATTATTTTCTGCAGCAAGTGTTTCAAGTTAATCTATTCACCTCTCTTTCCCTGATCCTACCTTTCCAAGCATGAAGTCCTTCTCCAAGAAATACCTTTCCAAGCATGAAGTCCCTCGCCAAGAAATAGCCTCTACTAGCTATATGCCCACAGTAAGCAAGATAAGCTTCAACATTTTTGCCTCCAAGGAGCACTCCAGACATATCTTGTTCTTTTGGCAATCCATGAAAAATTCTCTACTCTTCTCCAATACCACAGTTCAGTGGCATCACTTCTTCTACTGGCACTCTTATTTATTGTCCAGCTTTCAGCAGCAGAGCAAATGACTAAAAAAAAAAAACCCAGGGCCTGAATCAGGTATACTTTAGGCCTCAAAATGACATCATTGCCCCTCAATAATTTGAAGAAGTCCTTAACTGCAGACTTTTCCAAGTGTAATACATCTCCTGACTGCTGGTCCTAAGTGTATTATTGATTGTGGATCCAAGTAAGATGAAGTTATTGACAGTTTCAATCTTTTCTCTGTCTATCATGATGTTCCCTATCAGTCCAGTGGTGAGAATTTTTGTTTTCTTGACGTAAAAGTGCAATCCATATTGAAGACTGCATTTTTTATTTTCTGCAGCAAGTGCTTCAAGTCCTCCTCACTTTCCACAAGTAAGGTTGTGTTACCCACATAATGAAGTTATCTTCCAATCCTGATGCTACATTCTTCTTCAGAGAGTTCCAGTTTCTCAAGTTTGCTCAGCATACAGATTGAGTAAGTATGAAGGAAGGACACCACCCTGACACACTCTTCTTAATATGGTGGGTCAAAGTGGTAGGAAGGTAGAAATCTACTCTGCTAAAGACATTTCTCACAATGACCTGAGAATGCGCAGGCAAACGGACCCAGACTCCTCTACTGTGAACCTGAAGAATCTAGGATACTGGATTCGTTTCCCTTTAGACGGAACCTTTTATTGAATCTGCCTACAACTAGCAGGATTACCAGTTCAGGGTGTTTTGTGAGAGCTGGGACACGTTTACAAATAGGAACAGGCACTTATTGTATTAAGTACCTACCTCATGGGATTGCTGTGAGAATTGTTGTTGTTATGTGCTGTCGAGTGGCCTGTGACTCATAGTGACCCTATTTACAACAGCCCTAAACCCTACTCTATCCTTTGCCAATCTCACTGTTTCAGACACACCTACCCCCATTACCCCAGTCACTGAATCAATTCACCTCATAGAGGGCCTTCCTCTCCTGCACTGTTCCTCCACCCTCCCAAGTATGGCATCCCTCTTCAAGGACTGATCCCTCCAAAGTATGTCAGACGAAGCTTCAGAATTTTGCCTCCAAGGAGCAGCCTGGTTTAACCTTCTCCAGGATGAACCTATTCGTTTTGTTAGCAGTCCATGGTACATTCAATACTCTTCTCCAACACCACAGCTCAAAGGCATCAATTCTCCTTCTATCCTCCCTAGTCATTGTCCAGCTCTCTGATGCACAGCAAGTGATTGCAAAGACCATGGCCTGTATCAGGTGCACCTTAGTCTCCAGAGTGACACTATTGCTCTTCAGTAGTACTTTGGAGAGGTCCCTAAGAGCAGACTTGCCCATCACAATATGTCTTTTGATTTCCTGGCTGCTGGTGAGTGTTGACTGTGGAGTCAAGCAAACTAAAGCTGTTAACAATCTCAATCTCTTCACCATCCATCCTGATGCTGCCAGTTGGCCCAGTGGTGAGAATCTTTGTCTTCTTGATATTGAGCCTCAATCCATATTGAAGGCTTCTACAACAAGTGTTTTAGGTCCTCCTCAGTTTCAGCAAGCAAGGTTGTGTCATCTGCATATCGCAGATTGTTGATGCATCTTCCCCAATCCTGATGCCACACTTCTCATACAGCCAAGGCTCCCGGATAATCTGTTCTGCATAAAAATTGAAAAGGTATGAAGATAGGACACATCCCTGGTGTACACCTGTTAAATATTTAGATGAATACTTGGCATATATTTAAATCTGATTTAAAGGCATTATCACTTATTAGTCATTTTAATTTCAGAGTTAAGACTGCACTTAGCAACAGTGCTTGAGTTTGCTCAGATTGAAAACTTCTAGTGATGGGAGTATAGTGGTAAGAAGCTGTACTGCCCTATCAAAGGCACACAGTTCAAATCCATTAACTGCTCCACAGGAGACTGATAAGCAATCTCCTCTCCTGCTGCTTCTGAAAACACGCCTGAGAGTCAACTATGGATCTGTTCTTTGTTGTTGTGCATAACAAAGACAGAGCGAACTTTTGAACTATGGTCTCTAAGAAACGTGGTCTCTAAGGGATGGTAGCAAAAGTTCAGTATCAGGAAAAGTCCAAGATCTTAGAGGGGGTATGAATTTGGTCTGGAGGGAAGGGCATTTCAGGCAGTGATTACAGTAGAGTACGACTAAGATGTTGTAAAAGGCAGAAGAGGGTGGCCTGTAGCAACAGCCTGCTTTGCGCAGTGTCCCTCGCGCAATGTCCCTCACAGGCTTCAGAGTCCCTCACAGGCCACGGTGACCAGGATCTGGGCCGCAAAGGGGCGGGCTCAGAACTGTGGCAAAAGCTCCCAAAGCCGCGGAGCGAGCTTGAAAGAGCCTCTGACCATATTGGGGGTGTCTGATTTCCAGAGCCTCCGAGTCCCGCCCCCAGGCTCCCTGAGAATCTCAGGGGTGCGTTCAGTCCAGATGTAACCTCTTCAATCTCTAATAAAACCTGTAATCAGACTGTTAGTGAGAGCCAACCCACAATCCGCAGCCCAGCGTGCAAGCAGCCCCAAGCCAGGTCCTAAAGTCACATGTGGCAAGCAACACCCGCGACTCCACGGCCCTGCACTCCCCCCGCCTGCGAGTGGTGCACCCTGGCCCCGCCCCTTGACGCCAAGGGGGCGGGACCACCATCATGTGACAGGGAGTGACCTCTCCTCCCGGAGCCATGGGGGCCTTGGACCCGGAAGTGGCGCCCTGGGCTCGCGGCGGTGCCGCGGGGATGGCGGGCGCTGGTGCGGGAGCGGGAGCTCGAGGCGGGGCGGCGACAGGGGTCGAGGCCCGGGCTCGCGATCCACCGCCTGCGCACCGTGCACATCCCCGCCACCCTCGGCCCGCAGCACAGCCCTCGGCCCGCAGGATGGACAACGGGTCGGGGGACCTGGGTTCCGCAGAAAACACCCCCACCACCGAGGCGCTTTTTGTGGCTCTGGGCGCAGGTGTGACAGCTCTCAGTCACCCGCTGCTCTATGTGAAGTTGCTCATCCAGGTGGGATATAAAGGCTGCTTATGAAAGTGACAGGCCGGGATCTAGCAGAGGCTTCGGGCGGGAGAGTTGATGGCGGCGTTTGGGGGGAGAGGGGCCAGAAAGGCAGTTGGAGGTGGGGCGAAAGGTTGGGAGCAATGCATTAAGGAGAGGAGGGAAAAGATGAGGGGCTTTGAGAGTGCGAGGATGATGAGTTTGGAGATGCAGGATAGAGGCGAAGGAGGTGAAGAAAAATTTGGGAAAGTGGAAGAAGCGAGGGGCCTTTGAAGTCCTAGGAGTAAGAGCATTTGGATGGAAGAGAATGGTTGTGGAGTTGAAGGAATCGTAGGCGTAGGATTTAGGATAAGAGAGAAGTCTTAACAGATTTGAGATGAGGGAGCAAAAGAGTATTGGGGGAAGGACGAGAAGTTCGGGGTTAAGGCAAAGAATTTGGAGGATGAGGAGGTCAGATCTGTAGTTGAGGAAAGGAAATATCTGGATCGTATAAAGTGGTTTGGCAAGACAAAGGAGTACGTCAGACAGGGTTAGAAATTTAGAAAGGATATTCAGACTGGTGAGAGGGGAGGATTGGAGTATTGGATTCAGTGATGATGGAATTTGGTATAAGTGGGCAAAGGTGAAGAGTTAGTAGGGACGTGGGGGGTCTCTGAATTTGATGGTGAGGACAGATTTAGTGGGAGGGTAGACGGAGTGACGCATTTTTGGGGGGAAGGGAACTGATAGAGCCTTGCATGGGGGGGAGTGGTGGTGATGTGTCTGGAGATGGGAATGGGGGCAGGGTTTTCGAAGGAAGGAAGGAAGATGACGTGTATAGAAGAGAAAATGGAAGTCAGGATTGGAGTCGGGGATAAGGCGAAAGAGGTATGAGAATATTGGAATTGGGTGAAAGGGGCAATAGGTGGTACGTTATGTAGGTGGTGACAGTGAGTTACAGATGAATTAGGCTGCTTGAGAAAGGATAGAGCTAGAAAGTGGGCTGGGATAAGATGGAAAGAGTTAGATGGGCATGACTGAAGGTTGCTGTGAGCTAAAATTGACTTGATGGCAACAGGTCTTTTTTTAGTTTGGAGAGTGGCACAGTTTAGATGGATGTTGTGCACTGGTTAGGGCCTGGACTAGAAGATAAAACGTAGGATTTTTCCTGTTAAAAGAGTAAGAGGTAGCAGGTGAAAAATAAGATAGAGAGAGATCACTTATGTTTGAATTTTAAGATTGGCCTTTTAACCAGACTTTATTCACCTTAGACATAAACTGAGAGATTGAGAGGTACGGATGCGATAGAGGGCCTTGAGAATGGGGGGGGGGGAATTGACAAATTATTAATTTGTCATAGGTTTTTATAGTAAATAACAAATTAACTTGTTTCTTATAGGGAGTGATAGATTTGTGGTGTTGTTACTAGCAGTATGAGGAGGTACAGACAGAAGAAACCAAGTCCTTGACTAGAATCTAATTCCTACTGGACTTGGACACAGCTTGAGAAAGAAGGGCAAGACCAATCCTAGTATCTGTGATTTGGGGGTGAAGGTAGGCTACTTTACTGGCAAGATTAATATTTTACTTAAAGCACTAGAGATTGTAGGTTGGGGAGAAAAATTGGATGGAGCAGGCTTTGGAATTGGAGGTACTTGGCAATGAGAAGTAGAGCCATTGGGAGCTTAGTTTTCTGGATAAAGAAATGATGGCTGGAATGGTAGGGCATCAGATGGGAGAATTTACAGAGTGGAGGATGCTGGAATACAAAGAATAAATAGGCTTGGTATAAGGGGAGTGGGATAGTGGCTTCAGTGTTTGAAACATGCTGGCATTGGTTTACAGATTTCATAAGAAATTTGAAGTAAGGATAATTTGTAAAGGGGAGTTTGTATGAGGAATACTGAAGGATGAGGTGGAGATCAGATGGATGAGCTCAATTGCTCAGTTGGTGTAACAGAACAGCTTATATCTTTATTTAAACTATACGGGGTTTAATAGATTTTATGGTGGAATCTTAATGGGACTAGCTTGGGAATCAGAGTGACATTTCACAAAAAGGTTAGGTCACAGTTTAGGAGTGGAGTGACAGATTTGGGGGTTGTCTAGATTAAGTGAATAAGAAGTGTCTTGGATTAAATGTTTTAGCTTTGGGGAGTTTTAGATTTTGAAGGTAATGGCCTGGGACTAGTATTTGACTAGAATGCCAGCTGTGGCTGTGGTTAAACCAGTTGTCCTTGATTCACTTTCTATTTTTTAGGAGCAAATCACCTGACTTCTCTTTCAAGACTTAAACTGCCATGCTTTGGTTAGCAGATAACATGCATTAGCCTTTTGCACTACCCACAGACTCCCTGGGTATGATAGGGCTTGATTACCGTATTTCACACCAAATCCTTAGAACTTGGAGTTGAAAGGAATAAGAGGGTATTCATCCAGTGTGCCTTTGGATAAAACCAGGTTGGAAGTTCAAAAGAATTCATTGACCAGTTTGAAGGGACATGAGATTTGAGAAGGGACATGGCAGATTTAAGAGTAAAATTGGCATAAATGGACTCACAAATTGGAGTGACTAGACCATACCAGTAGCCAGGAAATCAAAAGATGAATTGCATTGGGAAAATCTTCTGTCAGGGACCTCTCCAGAGTACTAAAGAGCAACGATGTCATTCTGGAGACTAAGGTGCGCTTGATCCATTGCCATGGTTGTAGCAGTTGCTTGCTATGCATCAGAAAGCTGGACAATGACTAGGGGTGACACAAGGAGCTTTGGTACTTTTGAGCTGCGGTGCTAGAGAGGAATATTGACTATACCATGGACTGCCAGGAGAACAAAAAGATTCCTCTTAGACAGGGTGAAACCAGGCTGCTCCTTGGAGGGAAGGATTCTGAGGCTTCATCTGACATACTCCGTGCATGTTGCAAGGAGAGACCAGTCCTTGGTGAGGGACATCATGCTTGGGAGGGTGGAGGGACAGCACAAGAGAGGAAAACCCTGGATGAGATAGGTTGACTCAGTGACTGGGGTAATGGGGGTACATGTGTCAGAGATGATAATAATACTGGCTCAGGATAAATCGGGGTTCAGCACTGTTATGACCCTATACATAGGGTCACTATGAGTCGCTTGTGACTTGACAGCACTTAACAATAATAAGACTGAGTAAGACAGCAAACAAGTCATAGCTCCTACCTGGGAGCTGAGAGTATAAAAGAAATAATGCCTACATTTAAGAAATCAAAATCCAAACAGAATTTGAGCTCGGAAGCCTCATGCTTTTAACTCAGAAGGAGTAGAGATTTAAGTAGATGAACTTGGCCTATTGCGTTCTCCTTCTTGGGCTAGATTCCCCCCCCACCCCGCAAAGAAAAGGAGGATACTCAGCACAAAGGGAGTTTATTACTTTACAACTAGTAATTTGACATGTTGAGTGCCTGGGTGGCACATTTAAGCACTTGGCGACCAACCAAACGGTTGATGGTTCTAATCCATCCATAGGTGCTCAGTAGAAATACCTGGAAATCGCCTTTCCCCCAAATCACAACCATTAAATACCTTCTGTACACAGTCAACCCTGAATACATTGAGTCTCCAGTTAGCATTGATTCCATGACAACTAGTTTGGGTTTTCAATTGGTCTGTTTTGTAGTTGGGTATCACATCCACATGGAGTAACCTCGGCTTCATAAAATGAGAAGAAGAAAGTCGTTGAGCCAGGAAAACACTAAAAATTGTCCATTTATACAGCAGGGCTTCTTAACTCTACTGTTTAGTCCCTGCCTCTTCTCACGCTGCCTCCCTTTCCACATCTAGGAAGGATCTGCTGGCCTCCTTTAAGGACCTGGGCCTGGAGTCCTGGCCCCTGCTGAGGGGCCTTTGTGCATCCCATAAAGGTGTCTGAGGTACCTTGCTGCCTGTGGGACAGCAGAGAACATCTTTCCACTCGTTGGCAGCATAACAAACTGTCCCCCTCTTCACATGGGTGTGGATAATGTGGCTGCCCCATTCTTAACAAATACCTCGGTTATAGTTAGCATCTGTTCAAGAAGTTTAAAAGCCCTGCAGAAATTGGAGGCTGATTTAGAAATCATCCTGCCACAGGGCCTTGTGGTGACTGAGACTAGCACACGGTTGATGCTTTTGAAGAGCAACTGAGATTTGGGGTAATGGTTTGTTATTCCTGCTAATGGGTAGGTCAGACTTAGTTGTAGCTACATTGCATTCCTCTTATTCACAGTTTTATAGAGAAAAAGAAGACCCCTGATATGATGGGTTGACGTGGTGACTGTAGCATTGGGCTCAAGCATATCAGGATGTGAGGGTGGCACAGTCTCCCTTCTGTTGCTCATAGGGTCACTGTGAGGTGTAGTTGACTCCCTGACACTTACCATGGTGGGTTCCTAAAGACATTGGAGTTTGGATGACCATTGAAATGAGTTGGAGCTGCCCAGGGTTTGAGGTTAAGATTTGGGTGTGGCACATTTTGGTGTTGCCACAACTGGAAAGAAATTCAGTTGAAAGGAAGCTTACCTGAAGATGAGAATGAACCGGGATTTTTATTTTAATTTTTTTTTTATTGGGAGAGTGGTTTGAGATAAGTAAAAATGAGAGATTATGAACATGGACTATCTGAGACTTGAAGATAAGCACACTTGGGGAATGGGGATGATTTGGATCATGGTAGGACTCTTATCTGGGACTAGTCCCTCTGTTTAATGGGAGATGGCATTATGCTGCCTGTTACAGACCCTGAGGAAATTTCCTATGTTTTGATGGGAAACCCTTAACAGGAACGGCATTAGATTTTTTTAGGAGACAAACTTGAGCGAGCAACAGTGGAATCTGACCTTTGCTGTTTATTTGTTCATTCTGAAGGTGGGTCATGAGCCAATGCCCCCCACCATTGGGACCAATGTACTGGGGAGAAAGGTCCTCTACCTGCCAAGCTTTTTCACCTACGGTAAGTACTCATCCCAGGCAGGAAAGCCCACACATGTGATAGAATTGTCAAATGAATAGCCAGTGTACAGTTGGCCCTGGGGACATAACTGGTCAGCAGGGCACTTGGTGATGGAGCTGGTGACAGGGAGAGTAGTCAAAGGAAAGATTCTTCTTTAAAGAAAGAAAGCCGCACCAGAACCACCTCCTCCCCACTGGTTTGGCCCACGGTGAGCTGGGGGCCTACAGTCAGGCCACCTCTCCAGTTGGGCTTCACTCACCTGCAAAGGACAGTCCACTCTGCACATTGTAGTGTTTATACAGCCCCTTGCTCTAGGACCTCTGCTGGCTTTGAGGCCTCTCCATCTGAAAGTTTTCCTGATTCCACAAAATCCACCCCTTCTGTCTTTGTTCTTCCTCAGGTCATGGGATCCCAACTTGCCAAGTCCTTTTTCAGCCCAATGTTAGGAGTCGAATTGTGTCCCCTGGAAATAAGCATTGCAAATTCTGACTTTTGTGTTTGTTGATTCTATTTAGAAATGTACATCCTCTTAAAAATAGGTTGTGTTTGTTATGTTGGAAAACAGGATTATTTTAGGGTATGTCTTGCTTGAGTCACTCCCTTTGAGATACTGAAGAGAATAAACACATGAGTAAAGCAGAGATGTAAGGCCCCGGTAAGATCACCCAGGAGCAGAACCTCAAGAGATGAGGCCCTTTCTCTACAGAGAAAGAGAGTCTTCCCCTCAGATGGCTTGGTGGGTAAGGAATTGTGCTGCCAACCCAAAGGCAGGTGATTCAAATCCAGTGGCTGCTCTGAGGGAAAAAAAGATGAACAGTCTCCTGTAGGATTTACAGCCTCTGAAAATCCACTGGGAGATCAGCCAGGAGTTGGTTCTGACTCAGTGACAATGAGTGAGAGTGAGCACCTGAATTTGGGCTTCTAGCCTTCTAAACAGTGAAAAGAAATTTCTCTTGAAGGGACTCATGCCTGTTAGTGGTGTTTCTGTTAGAGCAGCTATCAATTTCTCTCTTCCAACTCCACCCTCACCAGATAGTTTTTAACTGCTCTTAAGCTTTTCTTTCTGTGTTTATAGCCAAAGTTCAATTTTAAGTATCACCTTAACGTGTGCCCACTCCACTAGTCCCTGTTTATGGTCAGTTCAGAATGTTCTCTGGAAGTCCTTCTTTAGAGATCTTATTTCCCTGTCGCTTCTCCTCCCACCCTCCAAAGTCAAACGCTAATTGCCAGCAAAATCAGATGTGTCATTTCTCTTCATTTTTGCCCCATTTCCTTGAGTCCAAGTTCAGAGAATAGACAGAACATTGCATTTTGTGATAATGTATTTGTGTTGGTTTTATTTAAAAATCTTCATTGTCCATGAAAGGAAATCACAGAACCAGGAACGCATGCCCTCCTGATACAGTGAAATAAGCACACAGAGATAACACTGCCGTTGTGGAGGCTAGGCCGTGGGGCTGCGAGTCCCGTGCTCTGTGGTTCCATGTGTGCCTCTGTGTGCATGCTGTGTTCAAGGCAGCTATAACCTGATAATCCCCGTCCATACTAAATAGCACTTCCCAAAAGAACTTGGAGAAGAAGGGTCTTGAAAACCATATTTCTACCACTTGCAAAGAGGAGCAGAATTCTAAAGTGCTTCTCCATATGCAACCTCTATTTCTATAAAAGTTGGTTCATCTAGATGTTGTAAGCTTATGTCTGTTGGACACTTCAGCATAATATACCTGCCTGGCCCTAAAGCTCACAGAACGGTCTCAACAGGAACTCCTCCCCCATGTCATAGTGGGAAATGCCACACACTGTAGTGACATTCTTTGGTGTAAAGGAAAAAACAGCCCTTTCCTTTACAGAATTTCCCAGGGACTGCAGAGAGGACCTGCAATGAAGGGAAGAGGCCTCTGACCCTTTTATGCTTTCACTCATCTTTGAAATGAGGAGAAATAGAGAGGTCCTTGCTCATTTTCTAGTGGGGGTTGTGTTGTGTGTGCCATCAAGCTAAGTATGAGTCATAGCAACTCTGTGAACAACAGATCTGATCCCTGTTCTGTCCTGTGCCAGGCTCACAATCTCTGACACACTGGAGCCCATTGCTGTAGTCACTGTGTCAGTCCACCTGGTTGAAGGTCTTCCTCTCTTTCACCATCCCGCCACCTTCCCAAGTATGATGTCCCTCTCCAGTTAATATAGCAACATGCCCAGAGTATGTGAGATAAAGTTTAAGCATCTTAAAGGTAGAAGGAAGTTAAATGTTTTGATCAGAATGCCACTGTGAATCTTTATCCTCCTGCTCTCCCTCTATCCCCAGAATAAAGCTGCCCCTGTCTGCTCACCCTGTGAAGCAGGATACATTTCCACATCATCACCCAGCCTCGCTTTTCCTCCCGTCAGTCCTCTCTCTAGCACCATCTCTTTCTCAGGAAAACAAATTTCTTCCTTATTTCTCAGGAAACAGTTAAGCCCAATGGCCCAGTGAAAAGCAGCAGCATTAATTACATTGATACTTTAGTCATGTTGCCCGGAGGGACCAGTCCTTGGAGAAAGGCATCATGCTTGGAAGGGTAGAGGGACAGCACAAGAGAGGAAGACCCTAGATGACATGGGAGTAATGGCAGTAGGCGTGTCGGAGACAGTGAAATTGGCTTAGGGTAGAGCAGAGTACAGAGCGATTGTACATAGGGTCGCTATGAGCCACAGGCAACTCAACGGCATGTAACAAGATTTCTTGCCAAGGAAAAAAAGGCTCTCTTCCTTGCCTCTGCCACTGGGTGGTGCTAGAAGGCTTGCTTCATGGACCTCCAAGGGGAGCACATTGAAAGAATGTTTGGCTAGCTTCCAGACAGAGGCATATCTGTGGAAAAATAGTGCCTATGGAAATTTATTTTTAAATTATTGAATGATCTTTCAGCTAGTAGTGAACACTGCTCAGCGGTGCCCTCTGCCTCTCAAGTGCTGCTCAAGGCATGTGCCTTCCCTGCTTTACCACCTGTGTCTAGGTATGTGGCTGTGTGCTGTCAAGTTAGAATCAACTCATAACTGACCCTCCAGCAGGTTTTCAGAGGTGATCAATCATGGGAGGATATATTGCCCATCTTTCTTCCATGAGGCAGTTGGTAGATTCGAACCACCTGTCTTTGAGTTGGTGGTAGGGAGCACAACTCCTTACTACTAGGCCACCAGAATTCTGCTTCCAGGTGTGCGCATTTATAAAAATGTGTTACTTTTTAAAATATTATTAAAAAGTACACAAGGGACTATTAATAAAAGTATTCTTTTAGAATCTTTAAACATCTATGCCTTTGAGTTGTGATGCTGGAGAACATATGTATTGAACATACCAAGGACTGCCAAGAGAACAAACATGTCTGTCTTGGAGAGGGTGGAATCAAGTTTCTCCTTGAAGGCAAGGATGTTGAAGGTCCATCTCACATACTTTGGGCACATGGCCAGGAGAGATCAGTCCTTGGAGAAGGACACTATGCTTGGAAGGATGGAGAGACAGCACAGGAGAGGAAGACCCCAGAAGAGATGGATTGACACAGTAACTGGGGCGATCGATGGGTGTAGGTGTGTTGGAGTCAGTGAGACAGACTCTGGATTGGGCAAGGTTCAGAGCTATTGTACATAGCTATTAGTTGCTATTAGTCACAGATGACTCAATGGCACATAACAACAAATAGCAACAATTATGTATTAGGGAGCTCTGGTGGTAAGATGCTGCAATAACACAGGCACACAGTTCAAATCCACCAGCTTCTTTATGGGAGTAGGGTAGTCAGTCTCCTATTGTGCAATTAACTCTCAGAAAACCCAACAGAGGGTCAGCTATGAGTTGGTTCTGACTTGATGGGACATAGCAACAATAATGACGTATTGCATTGGGCAAATCCGCTGTCAGGGACTTCTCCAAAATGCTGAAGAGCAATGCATCAGAAAGCTGAACAGTGAATGAGGATGACAGAAGAATTATTGATGACCTTTGAGCTGTGGTGTTGGAGAAGAGTGCTAATATCCCATGGACTGCCAAAAGAACACTTATGTTTTGAAGGATGTGAAGCCAGTGTGCTGCTTGGAGGCAAAGATGGCAAAGATTTGTCTTTCATACTAGGGAAATAGGAAAGATTTGTCTTTTATACATTTGTAGCTAGCTGAGACTATTCCTTGCAAAGATGGGGGCTCAGCAAAGGAGAGGAAGACCTTCAGCGAGATAGGTTGACACTGTGACTTACCAATGGGCTCAAGTGTATGGAAACCACATGAGGTAGTTTTTCACTATCCTACTGAATCAAAATCATTGCAAAGGCTGAAGAAGAAGAAAAGACCAAGATAGATGTCAGATGAGACTCTGAGTATTGCATTAGAGCACTGAGAAGCTAAATCTAAAGGGAGAAACCAAGGAATCAAAGAGTAAACAGAAAATTTCAAAAGGCAGCTCGGGACAACAAAGCAAGATACTATAATGCAATGTGCAGAGAGCTGGAGTCAGAAAATCAAAAGGGCCGAACTCGCTCAGCATTTCTCAAGCTGAAGGAGTTGAAAAACAAATTCAAGCCACAGTGGCAATACTCAAGGATACTTTGGGTAGAATGTTAAATGATCCAGGAAGTATCAGGAGAAGATGGAAGGAGTACACATACACAGAGTCACTGTGTCAGAAGGAATTGGCTGACACAGAAGAATTTCATGAAATAACATATGAGCAAGAGCCTATGGTGATAAAGGAGGAAGTTCACGTTGCTCTGAAGGAATTGGCAAAAAACAAGGCTCCAGGAGTTGACGGCATACCAATTGACATATTTCAACAAATAGACGCTGGCCTGGATGTGCTCACTAAGTTGTGCCAAGAAATATGGAGGACAGCCAGCTGGCCAACTGACTGGAAAAGATATTTGTTCCCATTCTAAAGAAAGGTGAACCAACTCTTGTGGAAATTATCAAACATATCGTTAATATCACATGCAAGCAAGATTCTGCTGTAAACTATCCAAAAACGTTTGGAATGGTATGTCAGCAAAGAACTGCCAGATGTGCAGGCTGGATTTAGAAAAGGTCATGGTAATAGGGATATTATAGCTAATGTTAGATGGGTCTTGGCAGAAAGCAGAGAATACCGGAAGAATGTCTATCTGTGCTTCATTGACTATGCAAAGGCTTTTGACTGTGTGGATCACAACAAG